ACAGAATTTTAAAATAATCGCGAACTTTTAGGAATACGTTGTGTTCAAAAGAACGAAGAGCATTGTGAACAGAACGATATTTACTACTAATTAGTAAACGAAATTTCAGAGTTTAAGCGGAGACGTTAGAAGTATAGAGTTGATGTAGACTTCAGATGAAAACCTGAAACCAAAACCCAAACAAGAAACAAAGCCAATAAAATTATTTTCTGAAATAATGATAAATATTTCAAATATCACATGATGTTGTTACAATATTTTTGCAACCTTACATAGAAGTAACAAAATCTTTTTTGTAAACACCTCACAACGATATTATTAGCGATCAAGGCGATAATGCCACTAAGACGCAAGAGATTCCTGAAAGTGAAAGAGATTTAGAAGACATTCGTCTGGGGAGAAAAGACAATAAAAGCACAGAGTTCAGAAAGACAGAAGAAACCGATTAAAATCTTTGAAGACCATATCTGACAAACAAATAAGAAACCGGAAGAATGTTCCACAGGCAAGAACTGCGAGAAAATGAATAGAATTTACGGTTAGATCTAGCTATTTGAAAAGTAAAACAGAGAGACCTAATTGCTAATCTAGTAGTACATTCACATTCATGCGATCGGGGTACCGAGGAGGAATCCGCATTAGAACAACTGACATGAAAATAATTATCGTAAATAAAGAGGGATCTTCTAACATTGCAAATACATTCCTTTTTAACATTGCTTTAACAGAAAAGGGAAAAGTTCCAGAAAGATATTAGAATGAGCATTCATCATCTAAATAAGTGATTCTTAATCTATATATAAAATTATGTGACTTCCGTGAGTCCGTCCCTTCGTCCGTTCGTCACGCCCTCTAATATAGTCGTACATTGACCGATCGAAACTAGATTTGGGGGAGAATTGCAAACAGGTAAGAGTGTACAAAGTACAGGCGATTTTACTAGGGTACGTGGCTTAGTATAATAAATTTTTATTAATTTTTTCGAAAAATTTAAAAGTTTTATTATTTAACATACAATATACTCCCACTATTTTAAAAACAATTTAATGCTTAAAATAACAAATACTTATTTAATAAAAATGCAGTATTGTTTTTTGGATATCTTTTCTTTAAGTTTCTACGTACAAGTTTGCGAGGACTATAAACAAATCACAAGGCCAAACGCTAGAGAAAGTTGGAATTTAGCTCCAGAAAGAAATATTTATGCATGACCAGTTCTATGTTGCATGCTCAAGAGTAAGAAATACTAAAAATTTAGTATTCGCTGTTTAAAAGGAAAAAAAGTAATTTTCTTAAAAAAATATTTTTTACCATGAAGTCCTATAAAATTAAATTTTATTAAAGAAATTATTAAACGGCGAAGTAGGATTTTTGTCAAAGTATTTTTCCAAGCAAATCAGTTTATTGAAATCATTTTTTCTGTGAAATTGAACGAAAGGTAGAGTTTGTAAATCCCAATAAAAATGTTATCGATAACTTTAAAAATACTAAATGCTGTGAGGATTTCAATTCTTGTCAGTGTGTTGCAAAAAAATTCTACTTAAAAAAAAAAAGGGAAAGAAATGTTAAACTTTCGATACGTATTGTTAGGTAAAGAAAAAGTTGTTTTTTTTTTTTAAATTTACAGTAAGGTTAACCATGTACAAGGCCCGAGGACCACTCGAGGTAGAGGGTTACGATAAGAGGTACTTTATATGACTAGGAGGGGAAGATAATGGTTAACTTCAGACTTGAACAGATTAAGATTGTTGTGATCGGGGAAACACCCTCTAGGGCAGGGGCTAGCTGGAAGAAGAAGCAGTTTGAGTGAAACTTACTCCTCGTCGATGGAATGTGAAGGGAATGTGAGTAGTTTACTACTATGTAAGTAGCATGGCGGGTCCTGATGCCTTGATTTTGATCCCACGTCCTTCTCTTTATCCTTTCCTCATCCCCCCCGCTATTTACACTTACTCTCATTCTCTGTAACCCCTTGCGTTCTAGTGGCACTCCTGCCTTGCTTGGGGTGAAATGCTTAAAAAAAGATTATTCATTGATGTGGTGGATAACGCATGAAATTCTTAAATGACATTAGCAATTATTCTTTCTTACTTGCATAGTACCCGTCATAAACGACGGTTTATTTGCGCATGAATCGGCATTTTTAGTCCGGGATCAGATAATTCATGTTCTCTTCCAAGGGTCACAATTTATAACGCTTCAGCCATCTACTTCGGATCAGTGTTGTAGCTGTGCGCTATACCTCACGCTTTTTTTCTTTTCCTTCTGTCTTGTTCCGATAGTCGCTCTGGCTGTTCGGTCAATGAATACCGAATGTTTCTTTATAAGGAAACGGTTAATATTACCGTTACCGTCGGAAATAACCTCAGACATGAATGGCGAAGCAATAACAATCTACCTACGGATATTAAATGTTTATATCGTATTTCTCTGAATGTTATCCGACTCGACAGACAATTGAAGAAAGTCGTTGAGTACAGCGGCTGAATTGTGGCGATAATGAGAACAAAATTGAGGAAAATAGTTTGAATGTAAATGAGATAAACAATAAGTCTTGCTCCTAGAAATTCAAACGCTCTTTAGATAATTGGCAAGTGCTTATGGAATTATTTAGCTACTTCCGTCAGCAGTAGTAACTTGCTTAACTAGCTTGTTAAATATCAAGTTTCGACGAGGGGCGGTGGCAGATAATTGGCAAATAGTTATGCCAATTTTAATTAATGGATCGCCAGTTAAATAATTTAAAGTTATTTGGCGGTAATATAAATACCAACACAATCTTTATTCGTTCTTTGACGAGTGTTTCTTTTTTTAATTTTCATCATATTTAGTCAGAATATGGCTGTCGACAACCAGCGCAGATTGTAATGCAAGAGTTAGCTCCACCTCGAGAATTCTGTCTTTCCGTGACAGCTGCTCTCCTACTTAAGCTACACAAACCCTACGATTGGTAGAAGATCGCATTTAACGATATTGACTCGGTATATATATTTTTTTCTCCGATTGCTCGACACCATATTGGTTTTACTGAAACAAGTTGCATTTTTTAAAAATATCTTTTTTCATTCATGATCTTACTACAAATGCCTACACACATTGATTGATTGATTGATTGCTAACTTGCTATACTGATTGATTAATAGGTAGGCGTACATTTATTTGCTGAACAGAACGTAAGATTTAATGCTGTTGATATAATTTTAAGCGGAAGTGCACGGAGGCATATGTTTGTGTGGGCATGTCTTTACGTGTGTAAGTATACAGCTAAGATGGTTATAGGACAACTGCCCCTAATTCCCCCTGGACAATTACCCTTATAGAACAACTGCCACCACCGGACAATTGCCCTCATAAGACAACTGCATCCTAACAATGGAAAGGGCACATTTTTAAAAGTTTTGCTTTTACTTCAGTAACAAAGATAAATTTCTAAAAGCCATCTTGAAGTTTATGGGATTTTTCTGACCTGACCGGCCAAACTGACAAGTTTGGGGAGTAGGAACATGCCAACGCCCAGCCTGAATTCATTGTTTGAACTGATCCAAGTGCATCTATAGATTTTTATACCACCCCGTCATGGGTGAAGTTTATATATGATGCTTACATGTATGTGGAGCAGATAGAAGTGGCAAATAGTGTTCTATCTTTTCTTTTTCTTTTTTAAATCGGTATCACACCATGCAAGGCAGTAAAGCCACTAAGACACAAGGCGTTATGGAAGAATTAGGAACAAACATCAGTGATGATCGGGAAGGGGAAAGAATAATCAGGTAGACAGTAGGTAGAGATATCCTCAAGGACACATGGCCCAGTGGATAAAGGCGTTGGTTAGATCCAGTAACAAGACACAGAGAGTTGTGAGTTCAATACCAGGCTACAACAGTGGTGAACCAAAAACTTGGAGGGAGGAGTTAAAGGGAAATAACTGAGACATCCGGAAGAAGCATGGCACGTGGAACTAGAACAATCTACCCCGGTGGACGAAATAAAGGGTTCGGATTTCCAATCACCTTAAGAAGGCCGGAGCGTTCAATGGCCGAAACATTGTGAATATGGCAATGAAGATGAAGATGAGGATAACAGTCCGAATAATGTAAATAATGTAAGTAATCATAATACCTCATCTCAGAGATCCAATCACCTTGAGAAGGCCGTAGAGTACAACGGTCGAAACGTTGGGAATATGGCAATGAAGATGAGGATAACTGTCCGAATAATGTAAGTAATCTTAATACCTCATCTCAGAGATATAGACAGAAAACCCTAAGTATTTTTTTAGTATTTATTTCACACACCCCCCCCAAAGATGTGGTTACTTGTAATTTTCTTTAATGGGGGCAATTGTCCGCGGTGAGCAATTCTCCGGAGCAGTCGGGGGAGGATTGTCTAGGTGGCAACTGCCCGGGAGGAATTGTCCACTTGACAATTATCCGGTGGGGGGGGGGTGCAATGGCTCAGGTGGCAATTGTCCAGGGGCAAATGTCCGCGTGCAATTTTTCGGGGGCAGTTCTCATGCCAGTTAAGAGAGGTAGGTTTAGTAGTTTTTTAGTCTTTGTTGTCAGAGTGAAAAAAACAAAACAAAAGATCTAGCTGAGTAGTAAATGGAACGATCATGGCAAATTAGAACACTGGCTGTGGTATATAATTACATTGTCGTCTATAATTTTGAGAAGAGTCATTAACATTCTTAGTTTTGATCGGCAATTGAACCTCTTCCCGTATTTGAGGTTGTTACCCGCGGATCAAAAGAAACGCTGGGCTAACAACAGCAAGAGCGGAAAACTAGTTCAGTTGTCCGCTGTAAAGATTTCTAGAGCCACCATTTGTAGAGTATCCTATCCAGGGCATTATAGTGACTAAATCGGGACTAGTTCAACCCATCGAACAGATTGCAATCCGCTGTGTCGCCATCGCTTGGCTACGGAAAAATAGGGATAGATTCGAGACGAACTGAATAAAAAAAAAAAAAAAAAACAACAACAGGGCAAGGACGGTAAGAAATGGTGGAATCGGGCACGGCTAGGAAGCGGAAGGAAGAGGACTCCCCACCTAACGCTTCTCCCGGTCCGGTGGCCTCCTACTCGCTTTCGTTACGCCTTTGGAGTTTCCAGGCGCCCCGACGATACGCGAATGTTCATAGTTCCTCGGTTTGTGTTTCAAGACGGGTTGAGTGCATTGTCTAATTTTTCCTGGAAGAATAAATTTGTCTTCTCGGCCTTGATCTATGCGAATATTACATTCATTTTCCAAATAAGCCATAAAATTTCATTTACAATTTTCATTTTTTTTTTTAAATTAGCTTCTAAGAATTCTATATATGATGAGGAAAGTATAAAGGTCTCTCATTCCAGAAAGTACAAATGAAATGCAAGAAAAAACTGCGTCTTTATAATCAAATCAAAAAATGCTTATTTTATGATAATAGATTTTAAAATTCATTTTGTAAGAGGATTAGATAACAAATATAGAGTCAGGATTCTTTAAAATGTAACATCTGCGTGCGTGTGTACGCTGTACGCGTTCGTTTGAGCACATAACCTGGATAGTAATAATAATAATAATATATATATATATATATATATGACACACTCATATCCTCTCTCCCACCTCACTTCCTCACTTCGTTAATTTTACGTATACTTGATGAGGTCCGTCAAAAACGTGTGAATTTCTTTTCATTTTAGCTTTTGGAAGTAAAGTCTGATGATCCAGAACCCTGTTAAAGGGGTTATGGTGAAATAGCTTATTACATGGAATCTTAACGTGGTCTGTCTTTTATTCAAACATATCTGCTCTGAATTTTACATTGAGCTCTCTGGATATCATCCTCCTCGGGTCTACCCATACGGATTACCTAATTTTGCATAAACTATATATATATATACACACACATATATATATATATATATATATATATATATATATATATATATATATATATATATATAGAGAGAGAGAGAGAGGGAGAGAGGTGCCATCTATATACTGTTGTTTAAATTGTGCAAAAATATGAGTATCTGTAAAAATAACATTTAAAGTGATAGAAATTTGTCAGATTGAAAAATAAACTCCATTACCTTAGAATATATATATATATATATATATATATATATATATATAGTAAGGTAAAAAATGCGTTGGTATATAATCCAAGTGGGTCCTAATAATATGAAAATATTAGAACTGATCCACAGAAAAAAATGCTCGTTTTTTATTTCATTTATACAGAGCAATATAATTAATGAAACAAATCCTTAAAGGTCATTTCGGCAGACGACGAAAGTGGTCGTCTGCCTTTTCAGGCCTGGTATGGAATGAAAAGTTAGACGAGGTGGAATGTAGCAGTTAAGTATGAGGGACTTAAGTTGACTCTTTAGTCTTTAGCTATCAATCTCAGTTCGTCACAGTTAACTGCTACATCCCTATTCTTCTAACCTTACAGACATGAACTTCATTTCATTTGCAACACCGGGGTTGAAAAGACGACCATTTTCGTTGTCTGCCGAAATAGGCTATTCCCTATATGAGGTAAAAGGATTTGTCTGATTATTAATTATATATATATATATATATATATTATATTTTGAACAATAAGAAAATTAAAAAATTAAAAGAATTAGAAAATAAAAAAATTAAAAAGTTAATTAAAAATAATTAATTAAAATTAAAAAATAATATATATTATCTATCTCTCTCTCTCTCTATATATATATATATATAGATAGATAGATAAGAGGCAGGTTGAATCCATTACATTCACTTACGTGCTAATACCCTTGGGAAAGGTGTGGATCCTCTTCTTCTCCCTCCAGCTATGGGTTAAATAGCAGGACAGACTGGGTTCTTTAGCCTTGGATGGAAACTGGTCTAGGAGAAGGACAACTCTGAATTCAAAACCTGAGGGGGGTTGTTTGTGGACCTTGTGGCACGTAGTGCACCAGGTCTCTGTATTCGGCCCTTCAAAAAGTGTGGATGGTCCTGCACGAAACCTTCACCACTATAATCGAATTTCATGTGCCGGTGTCGGGCTGTCAGTTTCCTGGAAACTGATCTGCTTGACCCTCATACGTCAAACCCGACGGGAGAATCGATTTATATATATATATATATATATATATATATATATATGTTCTCTATTGGCTGAACACTACTTTAAATAATATTTTTTCTATCAAGCAACTAGTCGTATTATATGGAGACTTGATTCATCTTAAAAATCAAACCATGAAATACTGTTTTTGTTTTTTTTACTGTTTTTGTATTTTTTTTTTAACTGGACTCTAACAATGGGCAAGGTGGTGGTGTCATCTGTAGAATATATGCAACCCTCGCGGTCACCCTGCTGGTTTCCTAGGAGCGAATTCTTATTTTAACCGTTTTGTCATTAATATTGAAAATGGTACCGACAAGTGTTGGGGAAGGGGGTTTGAAAGGAAAGGCTTGTACCATTTTTATTTTTCCCCCGACCAAAACGAGACGCGAGGCAACAGTTGGTTATTCTTGCTATGTGTGGGTGTTCGTCGTAAATTGTCAACGATAACTGCTTTAATTGAACGGCCTTTTCCTAAACGTTCATGCGACAGCTGCGGCATATTTGATTAGAATGAATTCAGGGAAGAAAGAAAAGAAGTTTAAATAAAAAAAAAAAAAGCAAAAGAAAAAATGAAGCACATTGAAATTTTCAAATCAATTTTTTTTAAGCAATGACTTAGATAATCTTGCAAATCTAGCAAACAGGTCGCCATTTTCAATCCTATTCAACAGTCGCTGCTTCTGTCGATCTATCTCGCAATATGGCTTCCTTTTTTTCACCAGTTTAATGGAAAGAAATACGATGTTATATGCAGTTTTTTTTAACGCTTTCATTGCTGTATGCAATATAAATCGAATTCGCTTATAAACTGCTTTATTGATTGATTTCTGTCAAGGTCGACAATGAGAGTAACAGCTTATTTTTGCTTTTGTTGCTAGTATCTGGTTACGTTAGTTATTTATAGTGAAGGGTTTTATCGAAGCATTCACTAACCCCAAATCTCATGCATAAACCCTCGAAGTATGCCAATGCCAAAATTTTCTTTTTTTTTATCAAGATATCTTTAACAAGATGGAAAATGCAAGGAAAATGGAACAATGCCTTTTCTAAAGGCCTTAAAAAGAATTCTCAGTTAGAATTCGAGTCTTTCATTCGCATTTACAAATTCTTTAAAAAAGCCTGCACTTTTAACACTTACAGGACAAGGAACATAGGAAAACAGCACATAATCTACCTAACGACCTTATGTAAATGGTTGTCAACAGGGATTAGGGGAGAGGCGAAAAGCGGAAGATTTACTGAGAGCTACAAAGGTACGGAAATTGGAGAGAGCCAGTTAGAACACATAATGAGGAAAGGGAGCTTGGAAAATTTGACACTCACAGGACATACTGAAGCCAAGAGTCGCAGAAGAACGCAGCGCGTAACCTATTTACGGGCTTGGGTAAATGTTTGGGATTAGGAGAGATAGTGAAAAGAGAAAATTTACTAAGAACTACAAAGTACAGGAAGTTATGGAGAGCTATGATTGCCTACATCCTGAATAGACAAGGTACATTATAGGAAGATTACCGTAAGATCATATAATGAAAAAAAGAAGGCTTGGAAAGTTTGACACTCACAGGACATATTGAAGGCAAGAGAGACAGAGGAAAGCAGCGTATATCCTAGGTAACGAGCTTGTGTAAATTGATGCCAGGATTAGGGTAGATAGAAAAAAGAAAAAAAAATCACTAAGAGCTGTAAAGAAGAAGAAATTGTGGAGAGCCATGATCGCCGACGTCCTGAATAGACAAGGTACATTATAGAAAGATTACCGTAAGGTCATATAATGAAAAAAGAAGGCTTGGAAAGTTTGACACGCGCAGGACATATAGAAGGCGAGAGAGACAGAGGAAAACAGCGTATATCCTAGCTAACGATCTTGTGTAAATTGATGCCAAGATTAGGAGAGATAGCAAAAAGACAACATTCACTAAGAGCTGCAAAAGACAGGAAATTGTGGAGAGCCATGATCGCCGACGTCTTGAATAGACAAGGTACAATATAGAAAGATTAACGCGGGGGTACATAATGAAGAAAGAAGGCTAGGAAAATTTGACATTCACGGGACATTCTGAAGGCAAGCTGGGCAGAGGAAAGCAGCGTATAACCTATCTAGAGATCTTGTTGGCAGAACAAGGATTAGGAGATAAAGGAAAAATTAAAAAAAATTAGTAAGGTCTACAAATGACAGGACGTTGTGGAGAGATACGATCGCCAACGTCCTGAAGGGACACAGCATATAGAAGTAATGATTAGCTAAACCAGCTGGAGCCGGATTTTTATCGTGTATCTACACAGTTATTTCTCTTCGACCATTTATATAGCGGAGGCATAATAGTGGTTTTCTAATCGTAGCTTACATGGGGCACAAGGCCGAAATTATGGGGCATCCAGTAAGGATAGAACTCTTTACTTAGTCGTAATTGTTCTAGCGAGACAAGCTTGCTAATTATTAAACCGACCTTAGGTGCCCTAGCGAAGGCATAATAATCCAACCAATATTGCATGTACAGTCTACCTTGAGATTCAATCCCTTCTCTGCTAGTTATTTTTGGGGAAAACGTTTCATTTTCAGACGAATTTTTAATTTGATTTTAATATAGTAACTAAGAAACTGAGGTACCTTGAAGTACCCTAGCGGTAGCTAACACCTCTACCGGACGTATGAGTTGACAATTGAACTTGTTCAAAGCTCACAAGGTCTTAAAAAGAATCATGATCGACGTATAAACATCTGGAGCTGGGTTTTGAACGTTATTTTTTTTTTTTTTTTTTTTTCGACGTATTTATTCGTCCATGTCTGAGAAGGACATTTTCGGTAAAACGTAAGAATAATATTTTTCTTTTTTTTTTTTTTTTTTTTTTAAAGAAAGAAAGAAAGAAAAACAGGTTATTCCATTATTAGCTTCGTGTATTGATTTTCAAACGGCTGGCAGTTGGCTCCCCTGGGAGGAATTTCAAATCCAATTAAGAGTAAGGATTTTATCCAGAGGAAGAATTTCAGTCATATGCGTAAATCATAAGCATAAACAGGAAAAGAAAGTTGTTGCCGGCATAGACGATTTCCAT